TCAACTTGACACAAGTATGGTCATCTGGGAGGAAGGAACCTCAATTGATAAAATCCCTCCTTCAGATGGGCCTGTAGGCAAATCCTTGGGTTCATTTTCTTAGTTAATGATAGATGTGGAAGGGCCCACACCTCTGTGGTTGGTGTCACTCCTGGTGTCAAGCCATGAAGAACAAGCCAGGAGACATCACTCTTCTCTGGTCTCTGTTTCAATTCCTGCCTCCGAGTCCTGCCTTGAGTTCCTGTCCTGGCTTCTTTTCAACATAAGGGGAAACCAACCCTTTCCTCTACAAGTTGCTTTTGGTCATGGTATTTTATCACAGCTGTAGAAACCTTAACTCACATTTTATGCTAAAGCCTCAGCTAAAGAGGAGACACATGTGTTTGGGCCTCTATGTGTCATGTGGGAAACTTTCATGCAATAAAAAAAAATCAACTAGAATACAAGGTCCCAATAATTAATCTTCTGTCAGCAAGCAGAATAAACACATCATAATCCATATCGATAGGAATGTGGGGATTTTGCCATATATAGACTGTCATTGTCAAAATGTCTTCTGACTTTCTTTTTACTTTTGCCCAAAGAGACATAATATACAATGTCCTTTGGTAGTCTATTTCAATATTTTACCAGCTTTCATATAATATATTATTGTCTTTACTTGAACTGAATTATAAAGTTCTAAAATATTATCTTCACTTAATATTTGCAATAGGGGCCAGAGAGATAGATGGCTCAGTACTTTTAAGAGCACTCTTGAACTGTCTGCTCTTCAGAGGCTCAATTCCCAACACCCATGTGAGAGCTCCAACTGTAACTCCAGTTCCAGGGGATCTAACACCCTCACCCATGCACCAATGCACATAAAATAAGGATATATCTGCACCAGTTTCAATGCTCCTTCTAGAACCTGGGTTAAAATTTAGACATTTTACTGCCTTTTTGACAGTGTTGAGAAGGTAAAGCTTGAAGATATCCTTTAGCAACTAAATCAACTGGTGCATAGTTATCATCACACAATTCTCCTGAAAAATTAATAAGCTAACATCTCTGAATTTTGTTTTACACTATGAGTATATTTAATGTACTGTTATATGCTCAGCAAATATTTTCCATCCAAGCAAAAGTATGATAAAAATCTGGTCAATGTTAGTTTGGATAAAATAGTCCATGTTCTAAGCTTTGGAATTAGAGATAATATGGAATTAATTCCCATGTGCTCTTTCCTCAGTAGGAAAGTAGAAGTAGGAGATCCATAGTTAGGCCTGAATTGGTGACGCATTTACTTATCTGATGATTTACACTACTGACTCTTCACTATTAGAAAATCGTTCTTTACAGGGTCACAACACCAGGTAGTCTCAAAGAATTAGAGAGGAAACTTTCTATCCATGTGATGTTGATTTTTGTCAACTCCATACCAATCTAGAACTGCCAAGAAGATAGGCATGCCTGGCAGCTACCTGGATCCCATTAATTGGCTTAGGAAGACCATCTTAATTATGGATGAGACCATTCACTGAGGGAAATCCCAGGGTGGATAAAATGGAGAAAGGGACTTGAGCAGCAGCCTACATTTATCTGTTTCCTGTTCACAGATGATATATGAGCAGCTGCTTCAGTCTTCTGCTGCCTCGACTTCCCTGTTGTGATAGACTGCACACTGAACTGCAGCTAAAACAGCCCCTTCCTCTTTTGTGAAAGTTTTATCTCAGCGAGCAGAAAGGGATCGAAGGCAACTAATAAGATTACAAGAGACCCAATGACTGCAAGAAGCCCTAATTATTATTCCACATGCTGCTGGATTTTTCCCTCCATGCCAAAAATTCTCCTGTGTTTCAAATATATGTAGGCATCTAGGTGTTCTAGTTTGGGGTGACTATAATTCTAGGTGCTCGTATCCAGTCTTGTCTTTGCTGGATGTTTGTTCCATTTTGTGGTTTCTGTTGCCCTTTCTGTGTCTTAGGAGAGGGTGGTGGCTGTGAGTTGCCAGATATGAAATGCTTCTTTGATTCTGCCAGGTGTGGCCACTGGCGTTCTAGGTAGAATATTTTTCTCGTTATTGGGTCCCGGATAGGATGTTTTCCTAGGTATTGAGTTCCAGGTAGAATGTTTTCCTAGGTATTGGGTTCCAGGTAGAATGCTTTTCCAGGTATTGAGTTTCAGGTAAAATGCTTTTCTAGGTATTGGGTGTTGAGAGTTATGAGGATGAGCTAGAAGTGCAGGTTTATGGGTCCAGAGGTTGAAGCAAAGCAGGGCATGCCACCAGGATCTGTATAGTTCTTTGGGAATGGGGCATTGGGGCAGACGGGTGAGGAGAAGAAGCCACAGCAGGTAGTCTGGTATGACTCTGGAGACTGGCTTTGGAAGGGAGGAGAGATTAAAGACCTAACGATCACCTAATGAGCCATCTCTCCAGTCCCAGTATGCAAGTATTTTATTGAGATTTTCTGCATCTATGTTCATAAGGGAACTTGATCTGTAATTTTCTTTCTTCATTGGATTTGAGTATCACTGGACAGCTGGAGAGATGGCTCAGATGTTAAGAGCACTCGCTGTTCCTCCAGAGGTCCTGAGTTCAATTCCCAGCAACCACATGGTGGGCTCATGACTATTTATAATGGGATCTGATGCCCTCTGCTGGCATTCAGGCATATATGCAGACAAAACATTCATAAAGGTTAAAAAGAAAAAAAAAAAAGCTTGGTAATCACTGACAGATAAGCAAACTGACCTGTGGAACCAGAGTCCAAAAATACACTCACATGTGTCTGTCACTTGGTCTTTGACAGAAACCACACCAAAGACCAGTGAGGAAAGGAAAGTATTTTTTTTTTTTTTTTTACAAATTTTGCTGGGTTAATTGAATATAGAAATGCATATAGAAAATGCATATCTCTATATCTCTATGGAAAATCAATTTATAAAGAATTCAGATTAGAACATAGAAAATGCTGACTAATTAAAGGATGGTCTTTGTGATAAACTCTTGTATATTGAAATTATAAACATTTATTATTTAAAAGAAAATATTTAAGAAAATTATCTGCGACAACATACATCCAAAGAAGGACATCCAAAGAAAGAACTTCTGGAAATGAGTGAGAGAGTCAGGAGCTTACTTTCTAGTAGGCTATTTGTAGGAATGTCACTTGGCACAAATGCTTTGCAAAACTGGTTAGTGGTGATTTCTGTGTCCCAACAATTCTGCCTCTACAGATGCACAAGGTAAATAATGTGTTACTTTTTCTTTTCCTTTTAAAAGGGAATGCTGGTTGGCCAGATGGTGAGATATTATTTATGAATTATTAAAGCTTGCCTGAGGATTCAGAAAGCAAAGTCAGCCACAAGCCATAAAAGCCAGGCACAGAATTAAGAGGTAGATGGATCTGTTAGTTCAAGGCCACATTAAGCTATAAGAAATATATCTAGTCCTAAAGAAAAACAGCTCACACAAAGATGATCTCAGCACTTTGGAACACTCATCTTTAATCTCAGGACTCATGGGAGGTATTTAACACTGGGAACAGAGTCTCAGAGCTGGCATTCATTCTCCAACCACTTGGAGGATAGGAAGGCATTCAGTCTCAGGATTCTCCAACCTCACTGAGGAGAGCATAACAATCTGGGATTGCAGTCTGAGTAGCCAGGATTGCCTTTCAGTCTGAGGTAGAGGTCAGAGCTAGGCTGGCTGCTTTGCTTTTCTGATCTTCAACTTGAAGCTTGAACCCCAATATCAGTCTCTGGATCTTTTATATTTTTGTGCCTTTAGTCCCAGCAGATGACAACTGTGCTTCCATCTAAATGATGGGTAGGAAACCTTAGATGTGGCTATATTCAGTATGAAGGTTTGATGGGTGCTTTAGAAAGAGATTTACTAGTAATGGCTAGGGAATCTGAAGAGGAGAAAAGGTGAGGTCAAAAAACAAAACAAAATAAAACAAAAAAACAAACAAACGAGCAAACAGTCATACAGCCCTAAGCAGAGTGTTTTGTCAACAGCCCAGGTGAACCAGAATTGCCTGTAAAAATCATTTTGCTGTTTTTCAGGGTTTTGTTTTTAACTTAATCATAATAAAACAACTCTAGATGACCATGAATATGCTAACAATTCAGATGATACAAAATATGAGGACCTGAATTTAACCCCAAGAACAGAACATACATAAACACGGAGAGAACCTGCACCATAAAGTTGTCATCTGACCTCCACATGTGTGTTGTAGCACATGCATGATGCCACGCACACATATCACATACACACAAAATAATAAAAAATAAAAAATAAAATGCAACTTATTCACCGACTCTGCTCATGACATATAAATGTGTAACAAAACTACTAAGTTTTAAGTGCACTGTTGCCATGGTTTCAAAAATTTGGAAAGTGTTTGAAATCACTTTTTGAAAAGTGAAAGTTGATTTGACATTAAAAAAAAAAACCAACAAAACAAAATAAAACCCTAATATACAACCACTTAAAAGATCCTAGGGCTCTTGTAAGATGCTCTCAGTGGGCTGAGACTGTTAGTATTCATGTTCATGCCTTGCTTCTGGAAAGTTCACAAAAAGGAAAGACGGCCACTGAAAAATGAATGCCTTTATTCTAAACATAGTTTATTATGGGTTGGCTCCACAAGTCTTAGGGCTTTCAAGGTTTTCTAAACCACAGAAGGAAGCCCGCTACTCTGCCAACACACCCTACAGCGCTGGGTACCCAGGAACCCCAAGGTCGGGTTTCCGTCCTCCCACTCACCCCCATCCAAGTCCCAGTCCCCGCCCCCTCCACGCGGCTGGAGATGTGAGCTCCTGAGCCAGCCCCGCCTCCCAGTCTTACCCTACCCCTTGCGTAGCCCCGCCCACAGATGCTCTGTCCTCAGTGGGCCCGGGGATAGAGGAGGGCAGGGGCGGGGCTCACCCCTTGCCCGCGGGTCTCCTAGGCTCCACCAATCAGAGAGCGCCCTGTTGGCCATCCGCGGCTGCAGGGCCCCTCCCTCTCCCGCCGGCCTCTGCGTCCCAGAATCCAAGATGGCGGGGTCCAGACGGAAGGGTACCCGGGCTGGAGCGCGGCCGTTCATTTGCGCCCTGCTACTGTCTTTCAGCCGATTCGTCGGGAGCGATGGCATGGGAGGCGACGCTGCGGCCCCCGGCGCCGCGGGCACCCCAGCCGAGTTGCCGCACCGCCGTTTCGAGTACAAGTACAGCTTTAAGGGGCCGCATCTGGTGCAGAGCGATGGGACCGTGCCCTTCTGGGCCCACGCGGGGAGTAAGCCGGGGCTGGGCCGGGGGTCGGGGCCCGGGTTCCCTCCTTGCTTTCCGTCCGCTTGTTCCATCTCCCCAATGCCCTGCAGGACCGAGGGTCAACTCCAGCCCTGCACGACACATGCTCTGGGGCAGGACTCCTCAGGCAGCCCCAGGTCCCGAGTCTTCTCATTCAGCTTGTCCACCCACTTCCCAGTCCTCCTTCTTAATCTCATCAGTACTTTGTTTGATTCAGAGGTGTTTTGTTACTTTCTGCAGTTCTTTGCACTCAAACCAGCTTCTGGGTGTCACGTTACATTATACCCTGATGCCACGTCTCAAGGATACACTTTGCCTGGCCAAAACAGCCTCCTGCTTGCCTTTTTTTTTTTTTTTTTTTTTTTTTTTAAAGGGAGTTAGCAGTAGTTAGTGGTCAGGTTTGTACCTAGTTTCCCAAATGTTCCAAGATAGCATGGAGTCTGGGAGTGTTTTTTTTTTGGTCTTCGGATGTCGTTCTTAAAATGTTGGGATTACACCATAGAATTGCCTCTCAGTTGACAGTGTGTATGGTCTTTGATCTTTGCACTATAAACTTTATATTAGTGTCTTTAGTACAGGAGATATATCTTTGTGCTGGCTGGTTGTTTCTGAACTTGGGACTAAGAATATTCATATCTTCTCCTTTAAGACATCCATGAAATAGTTTCTGCTTCACTCTGATACAGATGACAGAACTGTGACTGAGCAGTGCGCTGGTGAAAATAAAACACCTCCACGGTTTAGTGCTGATGTGTCACTGCTGACCAAAGAATGTCAGTAGCACTTGTCATTCCATAAGCTCCTCGGTGACTGTCAGGTACATCCATTAAAGCAAGTAGTAAATACCTTCTATTTTTGTGTGTTATTAAGGAATCATTTGTAGAAGGCTTTGATATGCCATTTGAGGTTGTTCAGTGACTGAATCAAAATGCTCCATTTCTAGAAAGTAATTGCTAAATAGAAAGCACATGTCCTGTAAGAGCCATGTTCCTCAAATTAATGTGCAATTATCAGGTGTAGATTTCATTGAACTTAATGATCAAGTCATTATGTGGTTGAAACAGACTGCAATTATGCTGTTACTTGGTTCACTCATTATAAGCCTTCTGGGCTCATGTTATCAAGATAGCATTGCTCTGAATACACAAAGATGATGGGCATGATACCAAGCCGGGTCCGTAGATCTTCTGTTTCTTTTTAGGAAATGATGATGAAATTGTCTGCACCTCTCTATTCCTTCTCAGCTGTTCTCTATCTTTTCCACCACAGTCACACACCAGCAAGTTCATAGTGTTAATCAACTACTGAAATTAGTTATCTTCACTCTGTTTACAGAGCCAGAAGAACAAATCTAGTCTACTGGGAAAGAGGTTAAGATAGAGAGTTGGAGTTGTGGTTCACTTGGTAGGGTGCTTGCCCAGCATGTGCCAAGTCCTGGGTTCAATCCCCAGCATCTTATAAACCAGGTGTAGTAGTACAGTACAGATTACACAGGCAGGTAGAGGCAAGAAGATCAGAAGTTCAAGGTCATCCTTGGTTGAGTTTAACTTCAGTTTGGGCTAAAGACATGGGTGTCAGGGTGTGTGTGTCTAATGTACCCCAATGCAAGTGTGTGGCTAAAGTATTTTACTGTTTTACTCATGACTTGATCTGTCTACTAATTTTGACACTCATTGGTATGGGTGGCATGAAAATCCATTGCTTTCTTGGTTACTATAATTGTTAATGTTACTCTTCTATTAATTGTGTTCATTTTTCTCCCTTTTCATTTCTTCTTGCAATCTATTGTTTGAAACCAGAAAAATGGAGAAATTTAGGATTTAGTTTGAACACAGACATTTACATTCAGCCCTAATTAGGATCACATAGATGGTATTTCTCTTTCATAAATCTTACATCCTTTTGTATCATCAGTACATATCCTGAGGCTCATAAGGGCAAGAAATGATAATAATTTTTTACTGTTCATAACCCTCAAAGCTCTCACCTACATTCTCCTATTTGAGCTGTAGTAGGCAGCTAGGCATCTCCTGTGTAGATGGGACAAGAACTACAGACAAAGGTTCTTGGACATTTACTCAAAGCTTCTGTTTCTCTGTCCAGAGCTTTTTCTGTAATGTTCTACCCCATCCTTTTGAGTGTTTGAGCCAGTGAGTACACTAAAGTATCTCAGCTTTCTTTTCCTGCCTATAAAGTGGTATAGTTACAGTTCCTTTATTTCCTATTGTGAATGTCAGAATGGTTACAATCTCAGAGAGTGTATTAGAATTGTTCAGATTTGGTCCTTTTAGGTACCTTAATAATTAGCCAATTTTATTGTTTTATTGTCTCACTTTATTGGATTTTGCAGAGACTGATTTTTCAAACAGACTGAAAATTTGTTCAGAAGTCTGTCAGTGCCACTCTTCCAGCTTCACCAGATGATCTTTAGCAGTTTCAATCAATGATGTTGTTGGTTTTGGTTTCTGTCTCTGAGACCCATGCATGATAACACAAGTGCTTTTTCAAAATTGATCTGTGTGCTAGCTTCTAATGTATTTTAAAATTACAGCCTACACATCATTATTTTAGATACAATACTGTTATACACTCAGTATACAATATAAATGTAACTTTCCGATGCACTGGAAAATCCACAAAATTGTGTGCCTTGTGTTGTTGTGATGGTTTGAAACTGAACAAGCAATATCCCTGGGCTATACCTATAAATGCATTCATACTCATTGCATACCAGTGACCTGCTGAAGACCTGACAGTCATGTAAGTGGCTGGATTGGGACTTCACCCAGCTACTCTTTTAGGATCATGTGTTTTCTCTCAAGTCCACCATAGTTAGAGAACTGCATATTAATTTAAAATTTAGTTGGCCTCCTTCCTGGGGAAATGTATATATGCAAGATACTTTGCATATGATTTTGTAGGGTTTAGAGAAGTTGTCAGGCCTGCCCCTTTCATTTTACAGATGAACATATATAATGAATCAGAGTACAGAAATGATTTATTCAAAGTCACAGCTGAACTTGATTCCTAGTGGTTGGTTCTAATAATTTTTTTTCTAATATTTTAACTATATAGAGAGTTTAAAATATGTAACTAGTAAAACATGTAGACTTTTAATATTGGACAAATTTGGGGGTTTTTTACAAATAGATTATGAAAATCAGTTTGCCTTTTTTATTAAAAATTCATACAATATTTTTTTTATCACTAGTTCCCTCCTCCTCACCCATCCAACTATGTGTTTTCTCTCTTTAGAAAATAAGACAAATAAAAACAGAAACCAAAATTAAAAAAAAAAAAAAAAAAAAAAAAAAACAGAAAAAAAGCATCAGATACACAGAAACAAAATCCATAAAAACACAAAGTTGGAAACCATAATATAAAGGTCTTGATCTCCTTCCTCAGTCTGTGGAACTTTTAATATGAAATATGTGGTTATAGGCTTACAGATGCAATTCTCTGTTCAAAAGACAAAAAAGATATTACTTCTTTAACCTTTCAAAGTCAAAGCTATCTCTAACACAATTCTTACTTACAATAAGAAGGTAAAATTGCATCTTTGTAGCAGTTCACAGTGGTAATATGTTGAGTTCTGCATAATTTTAACTTAGAGCCTTTCTTTTCTGGTTTCTACCATAGATGCTATTCCAAGTTCAGATCAAATTCGAATAGCACCATCATTAAAAAGCCAAAGAGGTTCAGTGTGGACAAAAACAAAAGCAGCCTTCGAGAACTGGGAAGTAGAAGTGACATTTCGAGTGACTGGAAGAGGTCGAATTGGAGCTGATGGCCTGGTATGATCATCTCTGTTGCTTGCACCAGTCTAGCTGCATCAGACCCTGGTTGCTAACTAGTCCCTCGTATGTATTTTCAGGCAATTTGGTATACAGAAAATCAAGGCTTGGATGGCCCTGTGTTTGGATCAGCTGATCTGTGGAATGGTGTTGGAATATTTTTTGATTCTTTTGACAATGATGGAAAGGTACATTTATTGCTAAAACTGTTAGCCATTTTCCATTTAATGTGCTTTTAACAGTTACACTGTGAGAAGGTAGCTTATTGACACCTTAAACTTAATAATAAAGAACTTGGTTGATAGCCTGTGCATGATCATTAGTCTTGGTAGCAGAGAATCTCGCAACTAAAAGCTTTGCAGGCATGATTTCTTTGCACACTACTTTACAGTCAGGATGGAGACTGAGATCTGAGTGTGCTTAGTGACTGTGAAATCATCGACATGCATCTTAGATGTGGGCAGTGAAGCCAGTAGAACTTGGGAAACCACGGTGGTATTAAGGTGTGGGGCTTGACTGGCCCTCATACTCAGCTCTCCTGTGTTAATTATTTTTTTGGTCAAGCCATTTTCCTGATAGCATCTTAAAAATAAAATGCGCTTAGATGCTGAAACAGTGACTTGTTGCTTAGACGCTTTAAGACTGGTGATCTTCCCTTTGACTAGTTGTTAATGATTTTCTGAGGTCACTGTCAGCAATTTAAAGAAATTTTAGTGACACATTGAAAGCTTGGGCCATAATGTTTTTTTTTTTTTAAAAAAAAGTAAGATCCCTAGAATCTTAGCAGTATGAAATTTCATAGCAAAGAAAGAATGATGAAGTTTTCTATGAAAGAGACTAAATCTCTTCTCTTTATTTTTAGAAAAATAATCCTGCTATAGTAGTTATAGGCAACAATGGACAAATTAATTATGACCATCAAAAGTAAGTGTGATTTTTGCATTATTTCTTATTTCAACTTTTCTTTGGAAACCCCATGAAATATATTGCTTCAAATCTCAACACTCTCCAAATGAAATAAGCTTTTTTTTTTTTCTCTTGAGCTGTTATAGTATAACTCAATGAAAAGATCTACTTTCTGTTTATGTCTTGAAGTAGTTCCTGTGAGCCACACTTCCCATGTTTATTCAAAGAGATATTTAGCTTTCACCAAACTAAAGAGTTCACAGTCTGTGCCACTGTTTCCAACATTAATGTCGCTTTAAAACTGGGTGCATTATAGAGCTTCCAGGTGTTGAGTGTAAGAAGATTGCTTATCCACACCTGGCTTTGCTCTTTCCTGCCTTGGTGACTACAGTGCTGGTAGTTTTTTTTTTTTTTTCTCTCTACAATCCCAGGTGTACTGGTTTAAAATAGAAGTGCCTAGGTTTCTGCTGGCTTGGATAGAGTTGACAAACATTTGCGTCTTTAAAAGCTCCATGAGGGGCTGGGGATGTAGCTCAGTCACAGAGCACTTGCCTAGACTCTAGGTCCAACACCACAAAAAATAAAATGAAAGTGAAATCCCTCTGAGTGATTTAGTTGCTGTCTTCTCTCATGATAGCATATCCTCCGTCCCTCTGCACCCAGTGGCATTGAGCTTCCCTTCCAGTGCCCCCAGAGTTCTGACAGGAGAGGCCTTTCTACCTTCTGAAATGTCACTGGAACTTGATATTTTTTGAATCTTCCTGCCTCTTCAATACTAAAAAGCCTTTTCTTTTTCTTTCTTTTCTTCTTTGAACTACAGTGATGGCACCACTCAAGCTCTAGCAAGTTGTCAGAGGGATTTTCGTAATAAACCCTATCCTGTTCGAGCAAAGATTACCTATTACCAGAAAACCCTAACAGTAAGTGACAGTAACCATAAGCAGTACTCTAGCATGACTTTTCTTTTGAATTCCCAACAGAAGTTAATGTACTTAAACATGGGCATCCACACATCTGTGTGCCTTGCCCTGAGAACACATGTAAGTGTGCCCTCTGGTGTATGTTGATTTTGTGTTGTGCAGCCTTGCTGGGACTGTTTGGTCAGGGAGGTATAAGCATCCGCTCAAAGATAACAAGCACACACGCAAGTCTTCAGGATACAAGTAGGAGTAAGACAAAGTCATTCTCCCTGAAGAGCTAGCATCACTGTGCTGTGTGACAAGGGATGTAAGACAGCAGTAAGGGATTGTGACCGTGGAACCTGGGCCCTGAGATGATCCTGGGGAAGGTCTAGAGGAGTTAAGTTGAGACGCAACTCGGAGCAGGAGTAGGGGATGTGTGTGTGTTCCAGGCACAGAGCTGAACATTTGAGAGCAAGCAGTTTGCTGTAGTGTGATGATAGAGAACATCTCGGAAGTCGGTGGAAATGCTGACAGTACCCATTCCTGTGAGGAACTTTCAAAAGAGTCAGTGTTCTCAGCAGGAAGGGATTTGGTGGTATTTGCAGTTTTAACAAGTGACCTGGGCCCCAGAGCAAGTCTTACAATAATGCAATAGGAACTAGGTGACATGATGTAGGCTCCTAGACCCTTACAGCACCACGTGTGCTGCATTCAGAGTAACTTGGAGAAAACCTGGTTTGCACAGTGGCACCTTGCCTGCAGGGCTCCACTTACTGCCTGACCTGAGGTGGTAGATGCCAAAGGGGGGAGAGGAGAGAAGAGCAGCACTGTCACGTTTGCTCACCCAGGGTAATGGAGAGCGTCTGTGTTCCTCCTGTGTGGTCTGCTCATGATCACGGCTCCCTGAGGCTTTGCAAGAGAGGAAGTTAACTTTTTTCACTGTAGAAAGTGTAAAACTAGCAACATTTTCTCTTTTTGAGCCTTTGACAAATAATGGGTTTAAAAAAAAAAAAAAAACCAAAAAAATAAGTGAATGATCTTACTGTGTAATGATGATTAGTAAGTGAGTTTATTTCAAATTACCCTTTGTAGGGCTGGGGAGATGGCTCAGTGGATAAAGAACTCGCTGTACAAGCCTGATAGCCAGAGCTCAGGTCTCTGGAACCTGTGTAAAAGCTGAGAAAGTGTGGCCATCTGGAATCCCAGCACTGAAGAGCCAGGGCAAGATGGCTAGCTGGTCTAGAGAATCACTGAACTCTGGGGTCAATTTAGGCACCCTGCCTCAATAAATAAAGTTTAAAGTGTTTAAAACAGATACCCAGTGTCAACTTCAGGTCTATATGCCACATAGTATCCATATACAAAAGGAATTAAAACAATAGAAGGAAGCAAGAGTGAATATTAATAATCACAAAATGCTAAAATGTAATTTTAAATGTGTTTTAAGAATCTACAGCTGTACTCTGTCTTCCTAGGTCATGATCAATAATGGCTTTACACCAGATAAAAACGATTATGAATTTTGTGCCAAAGTGGAAAATATGATTATCCCCACACAAGGGCATTTTGGGATATCTGCTGCAACAGGAGGTCTTGCAGGTAAATCTTGCCATCTTTTCATTTTGAAAGCTTGTGAATGATTCTCATTGGTAATTATGTTTACGGTATATAGACTAGATTACATTTCACTTCTCTATCTCTTTGGAGTCTTCCCATCATCCGCTCTACCAGTTTTTGGCTAGGTTGGAGCTACATGGGTGCGTGTAAATGACACCGTTCTTTTAAGGACACTTAGTAGTGAAGGGGACATATTTAAAGTTGAAGATATAAAAAGTTAATTCCCAAGTGTTTTGGGACCCTTAAACAAAATAATTGCTGTTATTTTCCACATATGTTGGTAAATGAAATTCCTCCACACCAATACAGCTTTGTGCTCATATGGCACATTACCATTTTAAATACTTCCAAAACTATGGCTTGTTCCATACAACCCAAGCAGAGAGGGAGGAGGTTTTCAGGGCTTGCCAAGTCCAGATGAAGGCAGTTGCTCAAGGTCACACAGTCACCCCCAGTCCTAGTCTGGATTTGTGGTTCCTGACTGTTTAGCCCATGGTCTCTCCTCAAGTTACCCAGTTTGAGGTGCCTCATGTTCTGTTTACCTAGCTGCATCTTCAGATCTCCCCGAGAGAGGCAGGAGTGGAAGGGTGCAGCACACTTGAAACAGATCACTCCGCACCATGGATGCAGTCAGCCAGCATTGGCCCAGTCCAATTGTAGCAAGGTCCAGTCTCCTTAGTTCCTGCCATTAGCTTAAGCAACTTGATGTTAGTTTGAGTTTGCGTGGTTTAGATAAAAAAGCAATATTATTATCATCCATTTGAGAAAAGCAAGTATGAACGGCCAGAGCTAGTGTGTACCAAAGGAAGGGTACTGGAAACAGGTGGACAGGGTTTTGTGCGATTGGAACAGGACTTTATCCCTTCAGGAGACTGGGAAGGTGTAGGAGGCGCCTTCACTTGTCAGACACTCACCCTTCACCAACTTCACTCCAGTTAAACCCTGCTGCACCCGCTGACTTGGGGTTGAGGGTTTAGGGCAGTTCTGAAGTCAGTCTTTCATAAGTAATAAATGCCTATCAAGTAAATTCACAACTATGAAACAGATACTTAGAGCATTTCTTGAAACTTTTCTTAAATTGTAGATGACCACGATGTTCTTTCTTTCCTGACTTTCCAGTTAACTGAGCCTGGAAAAGAGCCAGTGAGTACACTTTTTCCAAACAGTTAATTCCCAGTCAGTCTGGGTTAGTTTCAGTCCCTGCCATTTGGTCTTATGTAACTCCGGACACTCTGTAGCATGCTGTTGATATGTTCTGTGAACACCCCTTTATGTTGTCAGGATTAAGTGAGACCCGTGTTTATAGTTAATGGTAGTAATTACTAAAACCAAGAACAAATTAGCTGCATTTTAAGTAACGGACAGCCTTCAAGCCGGTTGTGGAGTTGTGAGCATAAGAAAAGGGACAGATGCCGAGATGTCTCCTCAGTTCCCTTTCTTAAGACCTGTTCTTCCTCTGGAAAAGCCTACACCAGAAAAAGACATTTCAGAAAAAGAAAAGGAAAAGTATCAAGAAGAGTTTGAGCACTTCCAGCAAGAATTAGACAAAAAGAAGGAGGAATTCCAGAAAGGCCACCCTGACCTCCAGGGACAGCCAGGTAAGTTTTAGTTAGGGTGGCTCTGTGGGGACCCTGGATTCTGTATTTCACATTGTCTCAGCTGTCTCAGCACTCTGAGGAATTGCTGGGAACGTGGGAAAGCAAGCCCTGAGTCCTTGAGGGTCTGAGAGTGTGGCTTGTGGGGTGTGAGTGAAGAACACCATAGTTGTGTGAGTGAACATGAGCCACTGGGTTGGAGCTTGGTGAAGATGGCGTTGACACATTCACCATTGTATTCTCTAAACTAAACCAGTGGGGGAAAAAAGTGCTGTCCTCGTAACTAAGTGCTAAATAAAACCATCCAGTGTGGCTCTCTCAATGTCACACAGTGGCCTTTATCAAAAAGCTTGGACAGTTTTATGTCCATATAGAATGCATTGGAATTATTTTGCTGCATTTCCCTGTGTTACTTTGCTGTCCCTCTGAACCCAACTGATCCAATAGTTGCCAGATCTTTAAAGAAAATGATGCCCTCTTCCCCAGTACCTTCCCCTTACTGCTGAGAATCCAGACATCAGTGTTAGTGTAAGCACTTTATATGAGACTTTATAAGTTGTTACCTCTTCAGAAATGTAACAGTGTGAAGCCCCAACAGACTGCCCACTTAGTGTCTGCTAGGTTTCTTCTGTCTGGTCGGTCCCCACCAGCTTGAATGATAGAGACTGCTTGATAAAGCTTTTGTGTAGCATTTGAATGCTGTGTAATGTACTGTTCTCAGTGGTCAATGGTATGGTAAACGCCTTGTCATTTGTGACCGTACCCTGAAGCTGCTTGTAGTAGGTGTACAGAGAGAACAGCTGATTGTTGGCAGTTATGGATGACCACCTAAGCAGCGCTGTATTAATGCATGGAATATTTTTTTTTCACCCCAGAAAGTTCTGATTCCATAGACCCACTCTCCACATAGCCTGTCAGTTTTGATTTCTGTTACTCCAGGTTAGTTCTCCTTGTAAAATTACACAGTACATATAAAACAAGATTATTTTAGGTGGAAAAAGTCCAGGTAGTAATTTCTATAGTAATTTAGTCATGACTGAACTGTTTGGAAGTTTCTTCCCCTGTGTTGGTAATGTTTTGGTTTTGGTGTATGTCAGCACCTGGCCTGTTAATTTCAAAGCCACAGGTGTGCAGAGGACCATAATTATTGTAATTTGTAATTACTTTTCAGCGGATGACATATTCGAGAGTGTAGGCGATCGAGAGTTAAGACAGATCTTTGAAGGACAGAATCGTATTCATCTGGAAATCAAGCAACTTAACAGGCAGCTGGATATGATCCTTGATGAACAGAGGAGATACGTCTCTTCCCTAACAGAAGAGATTTCCAGGAGAGGAGCAGGGACCCTAGGGCAGCCTGGGCAGGTAAGTGTTCCCCCACAGGGCTCCAGCCAGAATAGCTCTGTGCTCTCTTGACCAGAGGATACTAAGCTGCTTCTATCTCCCTCTAGGTGTCTCAACAGGAACTAGATACAGTTGTGAAAACTCAGCATGAGATTTTGCGACAAGTGAATGAGATGAAGTAAGTATCCTCCAGTCAGTCACGTGTGGTATTAAAGAAGCTTGTGTGCCTGCTCTCCTGTGTTAGTGTCCTTCACAAAGGCAAGCTGCAAATGTCCAAATTTTAAAACTCATTGTAAGCTGAAAAAAAGGAAGAAATTCTTCAATATTAGCAACTTTAAAAACAAAGAGGTTTGCTATAGTGATTTGAAACTAAGTATGTGCCTGTCTTTGGAAATTATGGGAGTGTGGAGTGAGCTGCTACAGCTCCATGAGAAATACTCATTTGTATTTGTCAGGCCTGGAGAACAAGCACACTTGCTCAGGAATTTCCTTCTGATGCCATCTTCTGCCCTATGACAGCCTGGACAGAGTTGGAATAGACAAAGTCCAGACAGTTGATTGACAAATCTCTTATGAGGATGGCTGACTCACATAGTCAACCTTCTCAGTGTCTGAGATGGAGAACATAGCTATGTGTTTTCATAAGCTAATGTTCAGTGTTCCCACCCAATTCAACCCTTGACAGGAGAGTGTCAAAGTGAGTCTTTAAAGGGCTGAACAACCATACAGGACCAGATTAAGTAGAAGATAAGAAGCTGAATGGACTCAGCTGACAACTGGAAATTTGTACTTTGCTCCTTAGCATTTAAGAAACATTTTTGTTGTTGAGTCATAATTCCCAAGCTAAATGAATAGATTTCTTTTTAGAAGTTGACTGGGTTGTATAACTTTTTTTTGTTTGTTTGTTTTGGGGGGGTTCTTTTTTTTTGTTTGTTTTTGTTTTTTTTTTTTTTTGTTTTGTTTTTTTGTTTTTGTTTTTTTGAGATAGCATTTCTCTGTGGCTTTGGAGCCTGTCCTGGAACTAGCTCTTGTAGACCAGTCTGGTCTCAAACTCACAGAGATCCACCTGCCTCTGCCTCTGCCTCTGCCTCTGCCTCCCGAGTGCCGAAATTAAAAGTGTGTGCCACCACCGCTTGGCTAACATAGTATTACTTTGGTACAATTTTGAAAAGATTTATTTATGTATATTAATGGTTTTGCCTGTATGTGTGTCCATACCATGTATATCCCAGAGTCCAGAAAATGGTGTTGTATCCTATGGAACTGCAGTTAGAGATGGTTGTGAGTCATCATGTGAACTAAGAATGAAACTCAGGCCCTCTGGAAGAGCAGTTGGTACTCTTTACAAGAGCCATCTCTCAAGCCCCTTATTTTCATATGAATTTTAACTTCAGAAGCTATAAAACTGGTATATTAAATTTCCATGTATCTTTCACCCATCTTTTAATGTTGATATTTTACATAACCACTATATGATTGTAAGACCTGGGTGGGCCCTCCATCTCTAGGGAGCTGCAATACACACATTCCTGTGCATGCATGCATGCACACATGTACTATACATATTACCCCTTGAGACCTTGTGCCTCATTCTTCTCCCGCCTCCCCATGTGCTTATCAGCAGGGTGTTAAAGCCACAGAGAGGAGGCAAGGGTCATGTCTAGGAGGGGCCTTACTACACAGTTGAAGGGTGTTTTCAGGGACCAAGACAGAAGACAGTGGAGTAGGAGATGAAGTCAGAAAAGTGAAGAGACTCTTAGTGTCTTATCCACCTTGGGAAATCAGACTTGAAAGATTTACCCTGTCCAGGGTGATCACACAATGACTTAACTCATAAAGCTTTGAAAGTCCCTTACTGTTTTCAGGTACATTCCTCCCTTTATATAAACAAATCTGCTCTGCTCTATTTCCTCCTTTATTAGAGTGCCTATCGTTTCTTACCGTACTGCCATGCTGTCACTCACTCCACAGCGTTCAGTGGCAGCTCTGCCTTAGATCTGAGCCATGGAGTCGGGTCTTAAGTCAGTGTGTAAGAATAGTGCATAGAGTCAGTGGATTGTCACACATTCTTTCATGCTTGAGTAGACAGTGCTGCTTTGTTGCTGCTTCCTGGTGACGCTCTGGGCTTGTACCTGAGGGCCATTGATAGGAGCACAGGGAGATAGAGGCGCAGTTCATTTGTGTCAGGAGTCCCTAAGACCAACGCATTCTCTGATTGGCCAGAGGTACTCAGAATTCGGAAAGCTGCTGTGAATCTGGTCATGGTTTGTGACGACAAAAAGTAACATGGTTGTCAAAGAAAGTTGGCACAGAGTAGGGTGCAGGAACTCCTGGAAGCTCCCCCTGCCCCTTCCAGAAGCTTCCCAGTGCACACAGGGCTTGAATTACAAGTTTTCACTTTACCGCGATTTGAAAGTGATAAGCATGCATTACAAACTGTGCTACAGATTTTGAACTTTTCCTGTGCTATAGTTATTGGTATGACATGGCAACGGCAGGTGTCAGTCGACCACTCCATTCATGGGGTCAACAAGCAAAACTCTGCTATGCTGTGTCCTGATCCAAAGTGTTCTATGTTCTAGGTGTATTAAACATGCTTTTCATTTAGTTTATAGCTTTATCCAGACATGATGCTTCATAAGTCAGGGGTCATTCTCCAAATAATGTGGGAAGCTCTTGTCTAGAATTTTTACTAGAGGACATTCCCATAGGTAAGGGTCCCAGAGCTGACCTTCAGTGACTTTCCAGCCCCTCTGGAGGTCAGTCCTTTAAGTCCTTTAAGGTTCCAGGTGAGCAAAACAGGCCTGCTCACATCAGTGTTTGTGTAGACTCTCCAGACCTACCTCGTGTTGCTGAATCAACCAGAGGCTCATAGGTCATCTCCCAGGACCTGGCATTATTCCAAGTCCAGCTTCACTCTTCTGAATACATATTTCTGTCCTAGGGCCCCCCCCCCCATTTCATTTCCTCTCCCTTCTCCCCTGGTGTCCCCTCTTTTCAGGCCAGGCTGGGTCTTGCTGTGTAGCCCAAGCTGGGCTTCAGCTCCCAGTCCTCTGGCCTCAGCCTCCAAGTATGAGGCTTATGGATATGCACCGCTGTGTCTGTCTTCTGGTTTTTTTTTTTTTTTTTCTTTTTTTGGGACTTTTTGTGTTTTTGGTTTTTTTAATGATTTGATGTGTAATTTAAAGAGGAGTAACCATTTGAAATATAACTGGAAACAAAAAATAAAACCCTTATGATTTCAAAGGGATTTTTGTGTTCCAGGAACTCCATGAGTGAAACAGTCCGTCTGGTGAGTGGCATACAGCACCCTGGCTCGGCAGGCGTCTATGAGACAACTCAGCACTTCATGGACATCAAAGAGCACCTGCATGTCGTGAAGAGAGACATCGACAACCTTGCACAGCGCAGCATGGTAAGGTGGTTCTGTGTGTTGTGGTTTTGAGCTGCGTGCATGTTCTTTCCTAAGTGTCCCATGGGTTCCGAAAGCCTTTGGATTTGGGTTTCCTAGGTAGAAAGCAGAAGCCTGTGTCGACACTTGTCATTACTTACTGGGCAGAAGCAATGAGGGTCTTTGTGTGGGATTTATATTACCAGACAATGAAAATATTTGTATTCCTATTTTACTATCCTCTATAATCCATGCCTTTTATCTTGTTTGAGAATTTATTCATGGGTATGAGGTGTGATTTTTCTTTTTTTAATTGAAAATAGTTATTTTTTTATAATATATTCTGATTATAGTTTCCTCTTTCCAAACTCCTTCATGGTGCCTCATTTGGTAACAAGTGTTCAGTTGGGCCTCCAACTCCCCAGTTATTTGGCGACACATTTAGATCACTTTGTATTTATTTGTACATATTTTAGGAAGCTGGAAGCTGCTACTATATTAAGTTTCCATACAGTCCCTCAAGTGACCCTTAGTTTCAGCTGTCCTCCATTTTCCTCCCCATTTGCTCTTACTGTTCTAGTTTCCCTCCCCATCCCCATCCATTGCGATCTGTTGTATTTCTTCTTCCTACAGTCATCCAATCCTCCCTTACTCTGTAACCTTTGTGATTGTATGAATTGTAGCCTGCTTATCAAGGACTTAACAGCTAACATCTACACCCAAGCAGATGCATACCATATTTTTCTTTGGGGTGTGGGTTATCTTAGGATGATGTTATCTCTCTCTATTTTCCTACAAATTGCATTTTTTTAAACAGATGAGTAATATACACATTTACTTTATCCATTCATACATTGGCAGACATCTAGTTTGTTTCCAATTACTTGTTACTATGAATAGAGCAGCAATGAAAATGGTTGAGAAAGTGGATCTGTCATGGGATATAGAGAGAGTCCTTTGTGTATGTGCCTAAGAGGGGTGTAGCTAGATCTTGAAGTAGATCAATTCCTAGTTTCCTGAGGAACCACTAATTACCAGCAAGGGGTAAGTGTTCCTCTTGCTCCATATCCTCACCAGCATGAGCTGTCATTTGCTTTATTGATCTTGGCCATTTTGATTGGTATAAGATGAAAGTATTACTTGCATTTCCATGAGAAAGCATGTCACTTTAAGTGTTTTTCAGCCATTTGTTTTCTCTTGAGAATTCAACTGTTTAGATCTATATTCCGGTTTTTAATAGGTTATTTTTCTTGATGTCCAGTTTTTGAGTTCTGTATATATTTTAGATGTTAGCCCTCTATTGGATATACATAGTTGGTAAAAAAAAAAAAAAAAAAAATCTTTTCCCATTCTATAGGCTGCCACTTTGTCTGAATGATGGTTGTTGTTCTTTTGCTGCAGCTAATGCCTAAGAAACACAAACACGAGACTCAGCGCCCACGTGGAGTTTATTGAGGGAAGGGAGAGAAAGAGGAGGTAGCTGGTGGCCAATCGAAAGCAGGAGAGAGAGAGAGAAGGGGGGGGGGTTTGCAGAGAAACCAGAGAGAGAGGCGATCTTGGCGCACTTGCTTTAAAAGGGGGCCTTGCGCATGCGTAACTGAGTCCTCTGGCAGCCAGGTAAAGCTTGAGCTGCCAGGTAAGGCTGACATAGCGATGACATGGCCATGAGCGTCCCGCCCATCATCGGGGGCAGGGGTCAGCAGGCTGCTAGTTCCCAACAATGGTATCCTTTACCATATAGAAGCTTTAATTTCATTAGGTTTCTTAGTTAGGGTTTCTATTGCTGTGAAGAGACACTGTAACCAAGGCAAGTCTTACAAAGGAAGACTTAGTTGGGGCTGGCTTATATAGTTCAGAGGTTAATTTACTCCATTATTGTAATGGCAGGAAGCATGTTGGCATGCAGGCAGACACGGTACTGTAGAGGTAGCTGAGAGTTCTAGATCAGCAGGCAGCAGGAAGAGACAGTGAGCCACTGGGCCTGGCTTGAGTGTCTGAGACCTCAAAGCCCACCCCCAGTGACACACTTCCTCTGAAAAGTCCACATCTACTCCAACAAGGCCATACTACCTCCTAGTAGTGCTACTCCCTGTTTTTAATCAAACCACCACAATGAGGTCCACTTATTCTTAGTTCCTGTGCTATTGGTGTTTCATTTGAGAAAGTCATTTCCTGTGCCAATGAGCTCAAAATTATCCCTCACTTTCTTCTATCAGATTTATTATATACAGTCATTATGTTGTAGTCTTTGATCCATTTGGAGTTGTGTACAGGGTGATAAGTATGGATATGCTTGCATATGTCTACATACAGACACCCAGTCACCCAGTTTAACCAGCACCATTTGTTGAAGATGCTATCTTTTATTCCAGTGTGTATTTCTGGCTTCTTTATTTAAAAAAAAAAAAAAAAAAAAAAAAAAAAAGGTGTCTGTAAGTGTGGATATATATCTAGGTTGTCAATTCTATTCCATTTATCAGTATGCCTATTCTGCAAATACCATGCAGTTTTATTACTATGATTTTGTACAATTTGAGGTTAGGAATGGTAATTCCTCCAACAGTACTTGTATCATTCAGAAGTGTTGTAGCTATCCTCGAACTTTGTTTCCAGTTTTGTTTCAAGTTCTGTGATGAATTGTGTAGGAATTTGATGAGGATTACATTGAATGTGTAGTGTAGTTAGGATGGCATTTTTACTGTGTTAATCCTACTGATCCACAAGCATGGGAAATCTTTCCATCTGTTGATATCTTCTTCAGTATCTTAAATTTTGTGTCATACAAGTCTTTTACTTGCTTGGTTAGAGTTACACCAAGATATGTGGAAAGTATTGTCTCCCAGATGTCATTCTCAGTCATTTGTAATAATCAGAAGGTTACTGAGTTTTTTTGTGTGTTGGTTTTGTATCCTGTTATTTTGCTGGAAGTTTATGTCAACTGTAGAAGCTTCCTGGTGGAGTTTTTAAGGTCATTTATGTGTACTTCAGTCTTAGCTAGGATTTTATTGCTGTAAAGAGACACCGTGACTATAGCAATCTTAAAAAGGAAAACATTTAATTAGGGCTGGCTTACATTTCCGAGGTTTCATCCATGGTGGCATGCAGGCAGATAATTTCTAGAGAGGTAGCTGAAAGTTGTACATCTAGATCCACAGGCAACAGGAAGAAAGCATGACAAAGGACCTGGCTTGAGCTTCTCAAATAGCAAAGCCATTCCCCCATTCCCCCACCCCCCCAGTGACACACTTCCTGCAAGGCCATGCCACCTACCACCTAGTAGTGCCATTTCCTGTGTGGCCCCAGTGGCGGCCATTTTCATTTAAATCACAGCTAAGGGTATCATCTACAAATAGATACTTTAATTTCCTTCATTCCAATTTTGCATTCCAGTTTTGTATTCCCTTGATCTCCTTCAGTTGTCTTATGTTCTAGCTTAGGCCTTAAGTACTATATTAAATAGGTATGGAGAGAGTGGACAGTCTTATGCCTGATTTTAGTGGAAATGCTTTGAATTTCTCTCCATTCATGTTAGCTGTGGGCTTGCTGGAAACTTGTATCTTAGACACTTTAGGACTTTTAATCATGAAGGGTGTTGCATTTTTCTAATTTCTGCATCTCATGAAATATGTTTAGTTAATAATGTCATTTAATTCCCATTTGTTTTCACAGATTTCATTAATGGATTTATTCATATCCTCTTTAAGGACTGCAAACAAATTCATAATAGCCAACAAATTCATAATAGCCATTTTGAAGTCCTGTATTGCATTTCTTAGGGTCTACTCCAGTAGGATTGTCAGGCTCTAGTGGAGACATACTTCCTGTGTGCTAATGTGTTTTTATGCTGGTGTTAGGCATCTGGGTTTGGAATGATTGTGAGTCTAGGTGTTGTCCTTGGTTTCTGTTGCTATCTGGATCTTAGGAGTGTGTGGTGGCAGTGCCTCTTTGTCTGGTAAGGAGTGCTTCTGGGTCCCTGGCTGGTGGGCCACTGGATGTCCTCGATAGACTTGTTTCTAGGTTTTGGGAGTTAAATGCAGGAATGGGGATAGACTAAAGGAGCTGGGGGCTGAGAGGAGGGGGGAAAGCTGAAATTTGCTAAGATCTCTGGGGTCTGGAGGAATGGAGGGAGGGAAGGCTAGCCTGCTACAGTGCCGGGAAGGAGACTGGATTGGAATTATCTAGGAGAGTAAAGATCACCTTCCTCATTCTCTGGTGGGTGTGGTCAGTGGGTTTCCAGGGAAAGAGAAGCTAAGTTATTAGCCAGTGAGACAAAGGATAGAATGAGGAGGGCAGGCTGGGGGAGATCTGAATACGAGGTGTTTTGATGAGACCCATCCTCCCACCCCCATTTACTCTTTAAACTCCCTGAGACCACTTAGTGCACCAGGGTCACATCCCTGAAGAAGTGACTCTCCTTCCCCCAATAGCCCTTAGTAACCAGTAGGAGTTAAGCTGGCGTAGGACTTCATTAAGCCCCTCCCCAATTTGTACTGTGGTTTTAGCTGACTTGTTCTTGTGAGTCTGTTTTTAAAAGGCATATCTTTGGCACAAATCTCTTTGGTGTATTTTCTACCAAGGATCTGCCCTGAAATTTTCTTGCTATTTTGTTTCATGTCACATCTTTAGGTTAGATAGTTAAGGTTGTGTGGAGTGTTTTCCTCGGCAGGCTAGCAACCTTATACAGCACGTATCTAGAATATGGTTGGTCCTAATCAAGCTTAGAAGCAGGACCCAACCCCTCGAAATATGTTTTTATGCTGCAGTAACATTAAAAACATGTCTTCAATTTCCAATCTCATTTCCATTATATATTTGATAGTGCCTTGAATCATTTTTGCCAATCTTAATAGTTTTCTTATTGGCCCTGGCTTTTCATCCAAATCATATTTTAGTTTTGTTTGAAGATACTTTCCCTCTTTGTTGTGATGGCCAACTTGGTGCTGTGGGTGGGTATGTCCTAAAAACTATGCCTCATAGATGCAGCCGGATTGAGAACAACCAATCCTAGAAGCCATTATATCTGGGTGACATCTTTGTCCCTGATGTTTAATTAGCTCCTTAAGAAGGGACAGTTTTCAGAGTAACTCAGGTTTGATGTTGTGAGATTGCAAAGGATCTGTTTAAGTAGTTTGTTGGTAAGTAGCATGTAATTTTTCATATGACCTGGAACATTACTGAGCCTAAAGTCTGCTGTCGATCATATGCCAGTACAGAAATTGTGAACTGGAAGCATCCAGGACAGTAGGAATTGTGGAAGTCTGTTCTCTGGAACCTTGAAGGCGCTGAAGTCATCATTTGTAGTGAAGTCAGGGAAGGGCAGGGGGAACCGTAATTAATGTCAGCTGCTCTGAAAGAAAGGATTTTAAACATTAGTAAAAGTTAAATGGATGGAAAATATTTAGGGGAATGAGTAAGTGAAAATACTGGTTAACAGACTGAGTTCTATAAAATGTCACACTTTGTCTTCCAGGACATTAATTTATAAAATGTCACACTTACGTCTTCCAGGACATTAATTTGACTGTATTATAATACATATTCTTTGCTTTACAGCCATCTAATGAAAAACCCAAATGCCCAGAACTACCACCCTTTCCATCATGCTTATCCACCATCCACTTTGTGATCTTTGTAGTGGTACAGACAGTGTTGTTTATTGGCTATATCATGTACAGGTAAGTCTCTTGACATTTAACCCAACAAGTTTGGGGATAAAATACTTGTAGAATTAAATAGGACCTTAAGCAACTTTCACGAACAGACAATGCATTACCAAGCAAATTTGTTTACTATTTGTTACTTATTGGTTGTGCATGTTTAGAGTGTTTATCTCAGTATTTTCTACTTCAGAGGGCATTGACAGTTTAATTTAAACAATCCCATTTCTTTCCCAAGTATATAGAATCTTTTTTTTTTTGTTTTGTTTTGTTTTGTTTTGTTTTTCCTTTTTTAGGACTCAGCAAGAAGCAGCTGCCAAAAAATTCTTTTGACCTTCATTTTCCTGTATGTACATCATGTATGTATGTATGTGCAAATGTTGTCTTTGAGGGGATTTAGTATTTAAATCACTTCATAGTCTAAGTTATTAAGTTTTGTAAAAAAAAAATAACTCTTAAAAACATTCATTTTTCAGTAAATAAATCTTAAAGACAACCACATTTTGTTCATAGTACTACATGTCTTTAAATTTCAGTGAGTTTCTGGTAAGGCAGAGTGTAGCCACTGAGCAGAATAATGGCAAGTCAAGACATAAAATAGGGACAGCCACTGACTGTGGGCACTACCCTCTCCATCTCTGGTACGGGAGGTTTATTTATATAAACACACTTGCCTTTCTTCCCAGAATGTGAGGCCTAAACAAGAGCACCCAATTCATGTGAGTCTTGTAACAAAATCAATTTTAGAAGTGAGAATCCCCTAATGCGAGGGTGGGTTCTGGAGTCCTTGGTCCCAACACAGCTCCCTCTGTGATCAGTCATTTGTCTGAGAACTTTGAATTAGATACCAGGCAACAGAGCATTTAATGAAATGTTTTCCCCTCTGTTTTAAATATTTCACTTTTAAAGGAAAATTCTGGTGGAAAACTAATACCTACTTTTTGTCTACATTTAGGTGAGAATCCTATGACAGTCATTTTTAATGGGTATTTTGCCCGGTGGTGTGTTCATTCATGATAGCCAATGTTTTAAATATCTTTGTTCCAATAATGTCAATTTGATATTACAGAAATAATTTTTGTGCTTTTAATTTGTGGAGTTTATTTCTCCCATTTTGTTGAACATGTAGTTAGCTTTAATTACATGTTCTGCCGCTATTTTAAATTCACAGGACTTACTAAAACATTCTGGTTTACATTACACTGGTTTGTGACTTGCAAACTTAAATTGGGGGGTGGTGCTTACAGCAGAAGCAGTTCTGAGCTATTTGTGTTAAAGGAAAAACAATTGTTTCTCCTTTAAATGCTAGAAAATAGGGACGCAAAGCGCCCGTTATGAATTAACCAGGAAACCTTAGGTTGGCAGGAGTTGATATCAGCACAATTAGTTGTAGGTATTTGAGAAACCACCTGTGACATTTTAAAGTGCAGATTTTACTTTTCTTTTCACAGCTGGGCTAGACTTTCGCTGGCTTCAAGACAGTTTACCTCTTTTTAAAGTAATGGTCTCCTTTGGTATGGGATCCAGAACACCACTGTTTAATAAGATATGCAACTAAATTGTTCGAAGCCTTCGTAAGTTTTCTGTCGAATGTCATTTGCAGATTGGGCTCTGAAGTCTCTATGAAAACTTTACGAAGAGCACTCTGTGCTGTGGTGCTAGCACCACACCTGCAGTCTCCCCTTGCATTTTACACTGGCATTCATCCCGGATCTCAAAAGCAGTGCACTCACAGTGGCTGCGCAAAAGCGTAAAGCGCTTCTCACTTCTCTCTAGAGTTAACGCAAGTGTCATCTCTCAGAATTTACTTATATTAACAAAAAACCTTCAGGGAAATGTCCAATTGTAGACATTGGGAAATCTTGAGATATTACAAAGTCCACAGTCATGTGCCTGAACGTTAAAGGACTCCCAGATCTGGGCAGTGTGCATTTTTCAAGTCCAAGGGGAAGTGCACTGGTGATTCCTAATGTGATTGCAGCTAGCCATTGCAGCTAGCAGGTAGTTAACACAGTGTATCTCCGTTTTCCTCAAGATCATTCAGTCTAAAGCCTCTGAGCAAAACCCTGTGCTGTGGGAACTTACCACTGCCAGAGTCCCTCCATTCTGTAGTGTTCTGTGTGACTGCAGTAATTCACTTCTCACACCAGCAAGAACTTTACAGGTGCCTTGGATTAAATCAAAATTTATTTTAACACTTTAATGTAATTTTATGATGCCACTTTTAAAAGAAATTGCAATTATGTAATTGCTGATAGGCTTGTGTTTGCGTTATAATTATTTGAATGCTTTACTTAACATAAAATTTCACCATGAAGTCACAAGTGATAACCAGTGTTTTTGTCACATCTTGAAGGCACGTTAGTGTTTTTCAAAGTCTGACCCATGGACCAGCCAGCCAGTTCATGGAATGCTTATTAGAATTCCTTGATTCCAAGGCCCCATTCCAATCCAGCTGCATCACCACTCGGGCGGGGCATCAAGTGTTCATCCCACAGACACAGCACACTGACAGTTGAAAACCACTGGATGAGGAGTAGGAAGAGGTGTGTGATGGGCGTTTGTTTCATTGGCTCTAAGCTGAGCTATGCATATTTTTGCTGTCGTTGGGATCAGCAGTGCTGCTGGTCCTTCTGTGCTTGTTAGTGTGTGTTTTGTTCATCAGCAACTACAAACTAACTTCGGGTTGGCCGACCTCTTGGCATGTCAATGATGACTTTGAAACTTATAGAATCATCTTTGGCTCATGGCAAAGCATAAGCCTGCTGGCTGAAGCTGTGGCCTTCCTGGTTGTCACCACTTTTTATCTCAGACAGCTGCATATGTTGATAACTTGAGGAAACCAGAAAAGACTTGAATAAGGGATTGCTCACCTGCTGCTCTGTGGAGAATCAGTCTTTGGAAAGAAAAGCAGATTGGTTGCCTGGATGCTGGTTGGAGAAAGGTGATGAACAAATTAGTCATTGGGAATTTTGTGTTTGTAAAATTTAGGGTGAGGTCAGCTCTTGCAACTCTTTAGATCTGTATGTTGCCCTTTTTAAGATATTTCTGTTATGATGTTAAAGTTTAAAAGGGTTTTCTAACCACTGTCAGTTTCAATTACAACATTTTGTCAAGGGTTTTTTTGTTTTTTGTTTTTCTCTTCTGATTGTTACTTGATGCTAGCTGGAATTCAGGAAATGTCAAATGACCTTATTCAAATAAAAGAATTATTTTAGTAAACTTGATTTTTCCTTCACTTATTTGATGTTGGGACCTAAGTAGCTCTTTTCCAAATAGGTCTCTGTTTGCAGTTGTATTTATCTGATCTGCACCCTGCTGTCCTGCTTTCTCTCCGGTTGCTCACAAGCAGCTTTAAGAGAAGATGGGTTATTCATTTGGCTTGTAATTCCCAGTTAGAGCACATCATTGTTGGAGCATATCATTTTGGGGAAGTCAAGGCAGGCACTTGAAGCAGCTAGTCACATCCAGTCAGGAACAAGGAGAAGAGGAATGTATGACTGCTTACCCGTGCTCACCCCTGCCCAACAATGAAGTTGGGAGATGGTGCTACCCACAGTGAACAGATGAACAGCCCCACCCCCGGCCCTTGCCATGAACACAGGGGAAAACAGTCTTCTATGGAAATGCCCAAGCATCAGACATCAGCAATCCCTCATTGAGATGCTCTGCCCAGGTTATTATTCTAGAGTTCATCAAGCTGACAATTACAACTGACCATCACACCTGTCCAGGTGCCTGCCATCTGTGGCAAGACAGGAATAGTGATGGATAAATGTTTACCTTTGCCAGTGCTGAAAAGTACTTATCAGTTAAAATGATGTATTTGGTGTTTTCTCCCTTCAGTCACCAAACACTGAAGGCTAGGTATGACGAGCCCTGATAAAACCTTGTGTAGCACCTGAAGGGCACTTGGTTCAATTCCCAGAACTACACAAGTCATAGTTTAGCTGGAATAGTAGGTTAGCTGGAATAGTTAGTCACTTCTAATTAGTAGCAATGTCTAAAAATTAGCCACCAATGGTAGGAATTTATTATAATTCTGGCTGGGGAGGTAGAGGAGATTAAAGTGAAAGAACAAATGGGTTTATGCTATTTGGATGTGCTCTTTTCTAAACTTCAATTCCATTAATGAGATAATTGCTAAGTCCTTAGGTCAGATGCCATCAATTTTTCAAGCCGAGTACATCACAACTAATCAGTATTTCTAAAGAGGAACCATTAAATCAAGATTAGACATGACTTAAAAACAAAATAAAACAAAAAACAGCATGGCAGCCAAAGAAGATTCTCACCTCTCCCTCTTCAGATCCAACCCCCTAGCTGAGCATCTGCTGAGACCTCTCCTCCCTCCCAGCTCCCATCTCCAGTGGCTCACACAGATCTTTCCCTCCAAATCTTACTTCCTCCCACTCATCCCTTTTGCCCAGCTCCAACACCAGCAGCCATTCCTTGAGAACACTGAGGGCAGGGTAGCAAGTAGGCTAACTGCAGTTATCACCTCTCCCTAGGCCTGTCACAGAAGCAAGTAGGCAAGCAAAGCAGGTAAGCAACTTCAGATCCTCAAGCTCCTCTCCTCATCCAATACCCTGCCCCCTCCAGTCTCACCTCAGCTCTGTAGCAGACAGCCTGTTGTGGGCCTCTCCCACTCTGCCCCCATTCTTAAGGGACTAAGCAGAACTCGAGGGAGCACCTTTCCTCTCTCCTTTGAGCCCCCATAACACAGCCCATTCCTAAATGTCAGCTCCCAATATCTAGATTTTTACCCAGATCCCCAGTGGCCACACCTGGCAGGATCTCAGAAGCATTTCCTACCAGGCAGCATACAGCCACCACACTCTAAGAAAAGAGGGCCCCACCCACCAATACCGTCCGTGGCAGGTAAAAGCTGGCCCTAACTTCTGTGGGTGCAGCACACGAGGGTGCAGCACACGAGAGGGCTCTGACACCTTCCTCACCCATACACACACACAATCTGGGCAGCACACTAGAGCTGACCCTGTTGTCAGGGACACTGCTAAGCCAGCCCTGAGGATGTGAGCAACAGAGATGACTCCATCCACCTCATCAGCATGGGTGAGGGAAAGATGTCCTCCCCACTCAGCCTCTTGCTGTCTGTAGGAGGTAAGAAAGCTAGTTCCAGGGTCACAAAATGGGGAACTAATCCTGCCCCTTACCACCTGCAGCACACAGGAAAGCGGGTCCTGCACCCCGCCTAAACAGCAAACTAGAGCTGACCCTGTTTGTCAGGGTGTGCAGGGGACAGAACAGGGGAGAGCTAATCACTCACACCATATGCTCTCCTCAGAAATTGGGACAGAGGGCCCTACACCTCACACCTGGGGAAAATAGCTGGTCCTGGTGGTGTGAGTGGGGGTGACCTGGATCTGAGGGCCTGAGAGCAGAACTGGCCCTGCTCCTGGGTGCAGGCTGCCTTGGGTGAGCTAGGTGAGGCAGTGCTGGAGAGCTCATCCTGGCAGTGAGGATGAGGGAAAGCTGGCGAACTGACCAACCCAACTACCACCCAGGCCCAGAACCAGGGCTATGAATTTGCCTCGTGGACGAACTGTTGGAGCAGGTGAAGGGAACAAACCTACAGATCCCAAACTGCAGGATCTCCATGATACAGACAACAACAGGATATCCAAGAGGAGCCCCAGTGAGAGGCCAGTATCCATGGTGTATCAGAAGCCAGAGGCCCCGAGCCTAATCAATGATTCTTGGCAATGAACACTTGCAAGTAAAGATGAGATGACTAAAGGGTAAACCGTGTGACTCAATGGGCCACACTACAGCTTCCACAATAAAGATTCCTGGTTTTTGTTTGGTTTGGTTTTTTTTTTAAATTTGGTTTAGTTGCGGGGGAGGGGATTATAAGGGCAGAGGGCAGATATGAGAGGACAGGGAGAAAAGTGAGATCGAAATTCATGATGTGAAACCCACAAGTAATCATGGCAAGTTTAAAGGGGCAATGGGGGAGGGGGGAACAACAGGAACCAAAGAACAAAGCATGTACCCAACAAAGACAAACCCAGATATCAGCACCTAGAATTACTCTCATCCCAAACCCAGGTGCCTAGACATGGTTGTCTATTCCAGTAGATCCTGATAATTGCAAATACCTCAAAATAACTTATGGATATGATAAAGGTACTTAAAGAGGAAATAAATCCCCCTTTTAAAAAAAATCTATGAAAATACAAACAGGAAACTGTTCAAGACCTGGAAGTGTAAAGAAAAAAAAAAAAAAAAATCAATGAAGAAAATTGAAACAGGGAAAACTGGAAAAGTTTAGGAGCTTGAACAGAAACTTCAGAGGCAAGCCTCACCAACAGAATACAAGACATAGAAGAAAAATCTCAGGCACTGAAGATACAGTAGAAGAAATAGATACCTCAAAAATTTAGAATATATATATTCTAAAAGAAAAATCCAGGCACAAAATATCCAGGAAATCTGGGTCCCTATGGAATGACCAAATCTATAAATAATAGGAATAAGAAGGGAAAAGAAACCCAGGGCAAGATACAGAAAATATTTAACAAAATTATAGAAGAAATTTCTCCTAATGTAAAGAAGGAGTTAACTATCATTGTACAAGAAGCTTCCAGAAAACTAACTAGACTAGAGTAGAAAAGAAATTCTCCATGGCAAATAACATGCAAAACACTAAGTGTACAGTACAAAGCTGCCAGGGAAAAAGACCAAGTAACATACAAAGGTAGACCTAATAGAATAGCACCTGACTTCTCAATGGAGACTCTAAAAGCCAGAGGTCTGGACAGATGTTAGTAGAATACATTAGAGCAGACATGGCAGCACAGACTACTATACTAGGCAAAACTCAGAATCAGTGGATGAAGAAAAGATATTCGTGATAAAAACCAAATTTAAGCATTACCTACAAATCTAGCCCCACAAAGTTAACCTAAAGAAGTTAACCACACTCAAGAAAACATAGGGAGTAATCAATCCCAATCAAGCAAATCAAGAGGGGAAACATGTACACAACACAAAACAGGAATCAACTAACACTGCTCATTGATAAATTCTCAACATCTACGGTCTTAATTCCCCAATAAAGAGTTGACTAACAGAATAGTTACAAAAACAAGATCTATTCTTGCATTATATACAAGAAACATACCTTAGCAAGAAACATACTTTATCATATACTTTATCACATCAAGGATAAATACCACCTCAGCATAGAACGATGGAAAAAAGATAATTCAAGCAAATGGATCCAAGAGGTAAGTCGGTGTACTCACTTTAATATCTAACAAACTAGACTTAAACCAAAACTACTCAGAAAAGATAGGGAAGGATGCTACATACTAATGGAAAAACACACTAAAGGGACATTGCAATGTTTCTATGCACCAAATACAAGGACACCTAAGTTCATAAAAGAAATACTACTATAGCTTAAGTCATATATTGCCCCTCAAATAGTGATAAAGGAGGTGACTTCAATACCCCACTTGTCATAGATGAGCCATCCATACAAAAAAATAAAAAGATATGCTAAATCTAACTGACATTATAAACCAAATGGACCTAGCAGATATTCATAGAATATTTCACCCAAACACCCAGCATCTCAAAGTTTCTCCAAAATTTACCACATACTCAGACACAAAGCAAGGTTCAACAAATACAAGAAAATTGAAATATCGCCCTTTACCTATCTGAACATCACAGATTAAAGCTACATATCAACAACAAACAAAAGAAAGCTTACACACTTCATGGAAACTGAGTAATGAATGAATAATGGGGGACAGAAAGTAAGATAGAATGACTTTAATGCCCACATTAAAAAAGAAAAGTAATAGAAAGAGCTCATACTAGCAACTTAACATCATACCTGAAAGCTCTAGAACAAAAGGAACTCACACCCCAAAGGAATAGGCGGCAACAAATAATCAAACTTTGGTTGAAGCCAATGAAATATAAATAAGAAATATGTATAAAGGATCAATGAAACAAATAATTGATTCTTTGAGAAAAATCAGTAAGATTAAACTTGACCAAATAAACTAGACGGCAGAAAGAGATGATCCAAATATAAAACTTAGAGATGAAAAGACCTACCCCAGCAAGAGTGCTCCTGGTACTCTGATTCACAACACCCCCCCAATCCAGAGCCTGCCCTCCCCCCCACCCTGTAACCTACCTAGCCCATTGCCCCACTGCTCTGATTGAGCACTGGACCAGAG